CACGAGATTTGTCCACAACAACACCCATGTAGGTTTTCTACTGATTGTGTTTAGTCGTATTAAAGATATACAGCTAGCTTTCAGGGCTAAATCATTATGCATATGTGACGTAGAAAGTTGGTCCTCTGCATATCATACAAAATGAAATATCTTCAAAACGAAGCAAGAAAACAAAAATCTATCAAAGAAGTTACGCTACAGTTTTCAATGATCTTTCAAATTAGACTAAAAAATAACAACGTCAATTTTCGAGTCATATGCCCTTTAAGCTGCAAGGGTTATTACAAAACTTTGTTTAGTTTTCGATGTTTTTTAATAAAGAGGAAAGCGGCCACAAAATCCATCCTAAGCTTGTTTTTAACTTCAGGTGCTCAAGAAAGCTTACATAGAGGAGAAGAGTAATGATGGATTGCCTGACTCCGTGGCCGCGAGACTGGCTTGGGAGAATCACAAGAAACGAAACCAATCAATCATTGTCGAATTATTGCAGGTTTGATTCAAAGACCGTTATATATCGGAAGAAGTTATTTCGCTGACCTGAGAGTGACATTTCGTCAAAACTTTTTTCTTCAAGATTGGATTAGAAACAAACTTGGAGTAGGGTTAGGTTAGGATTAGGCTTGGAATAGGGTTAGTGTTAGTAAAACCGTTGCTTTGTTACGCTTTGTCACTCTGAGGCCAGCGAAATAACCTCTTCCGTGTATATCAGTGAACATGAAACATAGTGCAACAATACAAAGAGAGATGTGGTAAAAGTGTAATCCTGTACCGTATATTTATCAAGTCTAAATCCTTTTCGAGTCTCTGTTTTTGTTTTATATCAGTTTTTCTGTGTGTTTTCTGTGTTCTTCAATTAAAAAATTTTTAAATTCCCCAATTGTTCGTAAATGTATAAATTTTGCTTTTGATGGCCACTTGTTTCGATTAGCCCCTATCATACCTATATGTTAATGTACCCTAATATAATTATTCATGTATTTTGATTTTTTCTGTGTTGGTGTAATGTACTCAGGTGAGTATGATGCTTGTGATGTTACTCTGAGTCTATATCCACACCGGGCAAGCTTGAAAAATATGCCTGTCCATGGTGGGAATCGAACCTACGACCTTTGGAATACTAGCCCAATGCTCTGCCAACTGATCGTAGGTTCGTAGGTTCGATTCCCACCATGGACAGGCACATTTTTCAAGCTTGCCCGGTGTGGATATATCACACGTGAGTAACATCACAAGCATCATATTCATGCATTTGTAATTTCATACTGCTCAATAAATTTCTTCTTCCATTTGAAGGTAACTATTCTTTGTTATATTTATATAGGGTCAGTTTAAATCGACTCTAACCTGTTCAGTTTGCAATAAACAAAGTGTGACTTTTGATGCCTTCATGTCCCTGACGCTGCCCATTCCAACCAACGCATCCTGTCAAATCGAGGTAACAAATATTACATTTAATATCGAGCTTTACTATAATTTCAGTGTCGAAAAATGGCCTTTGAGCATTCTGATTGGCTCCCTCAGCAGTAACTCTGAGGCAATAATTGCTACTCTGACTGCTCTGAACAGTAACTATTGCTTTTCCCAAAAAAATGGCTGAAAATCAGACGGAAGTAAATTATGTTTGCAAATTATATTCATAAAATAAACACGTGTATTAGTTGTATTTATAAATAAAACTTTTCAACACTGAAATTATGCTAAATTTATCATTTATTTATCAATCTAGTAACAAGAACGAAATTATCTATACCAATTACAACTAATCCTCACCCTTGTGCAATAAGTTACTCTGTCGAGTGTCGAGTTGTTCTTTTTACAGCGTCATAATTAAAAACAAAGTAATTAGATAAAAACTGGGGACCCTTTTATGCACATTTTAATTAACTAAGATGTATAATACTTTTTGTTTGTGGAAACACCACGTAAATTTATTACTGCAAAGCTTTCGATCCGTAAGCCCAGATCTTCATCAGTGCTAATATGTCAACAACTGGTGAAGATCCGGGCTTACGGATCGAAAGCTTTGCAGTAATAAATTTGAACTTACGTGTATATGGTGTAGCATGCTGTCATAGTTCTAGATAGTTCAAGGATATCTCAGCTGACCCACCAATCAAATTGTGCAAAAAGCACTATCCTCCCGAGTATATGCTAATTCGTCTTATCGTGACGATCGGCCCACTTCTAATACTATATTCTATTTCCACGTATCTAGGATTGTATTCGGTTGTTTACAACAAGGGAGAAAGTGAGTAGAGACAACAAGTGGTTTTGTCCAAGATGTAAGCAGCATCGCGAGGCGTGGAAAACAATGGAAATCTGGAAACTACCGCCAATACTCATTGTACATTTCAACAGATTTAAACGGTAAGATATTTCGTTCAAATAAATCTACATGTAGCTAACTATTGTCCATCAAGATTTGATGGTCTGCAGGGGCCGGTTGTACGAAGGCCGGATAGCGCTATCCACCGGATAGTGATTTTTTCGAGCTTTGTTAAATCAGTCGTTGATTGGTATAACTCGTATTAAAGTTTAGTATTTATAAGTTAAATGTTTTTATACTTCTTGTGTCGTCTATATCCGTAGTTTCACAGTTTTTCAAGCATTTTTACAAAGGTTGAAAAAATCACTATCCGGTGGATAACGCTATCCGGCCTTCGTACAACCGGCCCTAGGACACTAAATAGAAGTCATTGTGGTATGTTTTTGTCGGAGTTTATGCTAATTTCTGCACGGTCACGGTGATTGAGCTCTTTGTATGTTGGTCTAATGAAGTAATTGTCCAATATAGGGTTAATGCACAAAAAGGATTTGTGCACGGTCAGGTACAGTTCAACATCAAACAAAGGTCTTGTATTTTGTGACTTTGATGTTTACCGGGATTCCGGACCACCATATTTTGACAGACTATGAGCTAACTGTACATGGTTTTGCTGGATCTGTTTTTGCAGATATCATTGAGCATACGGAAACAGCTGCGGTCTGGGACGGCATGGGTAGGGTGGAACTTGGATTCAGAGGGCGAAGGCCCCGAAAACTTGACGAATTTCGCCTTTACATGCCTTTAGGACAGCTCAAAACTGCGTTAATATGTAGTCTAATGACGTTTACGATGGCGGAAGCGTCGTTCTTCTTGTGTTGCGAAACGTTATTTCCACGTCACAAATAATTAACTCAACTTCAATTTTACAGCACTGAGACTTTTGATAGACCCATTTGGCTAACGTTGTTTACATCGTTGCTACCCACAACTTTAGATAACTCACATGCCTAGTTACTATTGTTCTAGTTTACAGAAGCATAAAGTAGAACTAAGGTAACTAGGCATTAGAATTTATGTATGAGAGTTATTCACTGCATGTATAGATAATTCTAATGTTTAATTATCTTTGTTTTATTCTATGTTTCTGTAAACTAGAACAGTAGCAACTAGGCATGTGAGTTATCTAAAGTCGTGAATTGGGTATAAACAAACGTTAGCCAAATTTCTGTATGAGATGATTGATTTTCAAAACTCAATTCAAGACTGTAAAACCTAAAAACCCAGGACAGGAAACCTTTTTTTGGGCTTAGGCCAAAAAAAATGTGGGTTTCCGGTTTCTTCTTATAAAAACTTAGGTAGGGTAGGTCGGTTTTAACTTTTTTTTAAACTTTTTTTTAATTTTCCGAACAAGCGGACGCCATTTTGTTTAGTTAGTGCTTCCACATCCAAAGATAAATTTCCCTAATATTGCCTCAAATTTCAATTCTCCACAAACTTTTTCCTCTAAGTGGAAACACTTACAACCATGATCCAATAAAAAAGTTTAAGGTCGGGATTTCGACGTCCAAAAGCTAGGTAGGGTCGGCACATATTTTTTTTTTGGCCTAAATTCAAGGAATAATGTCTGTCAACCATCCATTGTTGCGCCCATAGTGAGACATGGCTGTTAAGGTTTCCTTCACACTTTCAATTGCAAATCTTCATTCAAACGAATTTCCTGCACCTGTTTAACATTCCCTGCGAGCAGTGCTTGCGTGCTCGCCCATTTTTTCCACCGCTCATGGTAAAACCCCTGTGTATAAATTAGAAAATAAATTTAAGCTTAAACAAAGTAATTTTGAGAGGTACGCCCCAAAATTATTTGATTTTTGAACGCTTTTCATCGCAAATCATCATCCCATCTTGGACTTTCTTATTTTGCAGAGATTTTGACGGATCTTGGTTGGAGAAACGGCAAACAAATGTCCATTTTCCAAGTACAAATCTGGACCTCTCGAAGTTTGTTTTGGGGCCAAACAAGTCATTGCGTTACAATCTGTATGGAGTGTCTAATCACTACGGTTCAATGCAGAGTGGCCACTACACGGCATTCTGTAAGAGCACCTACGATCGCAAGTGGTATAAGTTTGATGATAGTGACGTCACGTCCATGTCGGAATCAAGCGTAAAGGTAGAGTATTGACACAGAATAAAGATCCACACAGAAGGGCCACTTACGTCGGAAGCTTTGAAGTTTCTCTGCCGCTGACCGCCATCTTCCTAGCCAGTCGATTACATTTTCTGGCCAATAAACGCGCTGTATTGGCTGAATGCCTTCTGGCCAGTAAACTGCATATTTTTGCATAAAGAAACGAGACACGTTGCACCGCTGAGTGGCCCTTCTGGTACTGATCTTTATTCTGTGGTATTGATTTATATATTATAAAAATGTAACTTGTTACCATCACAATGTTACTTCACGATTTTTGTGTCCCAAAAAAAAGCTGGACACTGTTTAATTTCATGTAACGTAAAAGCTATATCGCAATGAAATCAAGATCATTGCATTCAGGAAGGAATAACTTAGATTTTGATATATAGCACTTGAATTTACATGCAATATTGACCGCGCTATTGATGTTTGAACGATGAACTACTGTTTTTGAAAATGCCAAAAATTAACTTAAAATTAAATTACTGAGTATATTTTTTATATTCCTTTTTAGTCGTCAGCAGCGTACATTCTTTGCTACACATCCATGGAGTTTATCCGACCATGAATTTGTATTTATCATGCGTTGCTTGTCACTGGAATACTTGCATCTGCTGTCAAAGAGTATATGCTTTATTTTTAGCAACTGGACTGATGTACATATATATGTATAGATATAGGAACTGATATATATTTAGTATTTTTTGAGGGAGACATGATCTGTAGTTGTATGCTGTCCACCATGGGCGCGGTTGTTCGAAAGTCGGGTTAGCTTATCCCTAGGTTAACCTATAAAATTCGAAGCAAACTTCCTGACAAGTTGTCTATAAGTTTGGAAATGTTTCTTCAGAAATTTTGTCTGGATAGATTGGAGTTGACTTATCTGAAGTTTTGAAATAAACAGATGTGCAGAAATACACAACACAAAACAGTTTGTTAAACTTTTAATCGAGGGTTAGCGCTAGCCCACCTTTGAACAACTGGACCCAGGGGTGTAGAAGGGGGGGGGTTCAGGGGCTGAACTCCCTTGTTAAAAATTTCATGTCGATAGGGGGATGGGGGTGACCTCGAAATATTTTTGCAGATTGTATGATCATAACCTCATGGTTTTAGTCAGGGACGCTGGAACGATGTGAGGCAGGGGGGGGGGCAGATTTTCGTGAAAGGGCACTTTTGAATTGATATATACTAAGAGATGTTTGCAAAACATCGGGAGTTGAACTTCGCCTAATCATGTTTTCTATTTATTGGATGATAGGGGTGTGAGGGGGTTCTCCGCCAGGCGATTGTGCTATTTTTGAAGCTCGATGACTGCATTTCTTGCGTTTTCTGAAGCAAATGCACTAACATTTCTGACAATTTGGTATTTCGCCAAGGCAATCCTTTAAATTGAAAGGGCACCTTTGCCCCCCTTGCCCCTCCTAGTAAAGGGCAACGGAGGAGGCTGCCCCCCCCCCCCCAGTTCCGACGTCCCTGGTTTTAGTAATCTGGAGCTGGTTGTTCAAAGTAGGCTTGGCCCTAACCCTGGGTGAAAATTACTTAACTTGCTGTCGCAGTTTATATATTTCTGCACATCTTTTTGTTTCTAAACTTCAGAGAAGAAATATCTAACTGATGCAGTATATCTCATTTGATAGAACTTTCAAAATTATATATAAACCCTTTCATCAAGTTTTCATATCTGCTTATAGTTTTTCAAATATTTTGACTGAAAACAATGAGCTGTCCGCCGTCTTGGATTAACTTTTTATCGCATTAACGGCATATAAATTCTTAAAACGTTCTCAGACAAATGGTTGTGTGGAATATAGTGACCGAAGTATAATTTTGAGCCCATAAGGACCATGGCATATCTGCATGGGTAAAAATATTTGCGTGACCCTTAATCCAAAATGGTGGACAGCTCGCTGATTTATGATGATTTTGGTCAAAATATTTCGAGAACTTATAAAAGGTGTAACAAAGTTTTTAATATAATTTTAAAAGCTCTGTCGAAGGAGACAAACTAAATTGTTATTGCCGTATCCCTTTAATTAAGTAGAATTTATAGTTTATCATTAACAAAAATGAGAAATGGCTTATTCTCATGAGTCATGGTGTTGTCGAGAAAGCGGCGACAGGTTATGCAGTTCTCAAAGATTATAAACTTCTTGGCTAAGATTACTCAAAGTGTTAAAAATTTTAACATAGATCTTTTAGCCGGTAATGAAAATAATTATGTAGCTACTGTAAAATACGATAAAGAATACAATTCTTTTAGACAGAATACACTTGTAATATTCAATTTGTCACTGGACAAGCTGAAAAGTTTTCTTGACCGCGGTGAGAATCGAATCCGCGACCTTTGCTTTGCTGGTCCAGTGCTCCACCAACTGAGATCAGGTCGGTTCGAGTCGGTAAGGCTAAAGAAAAAAATAGGTGGGTTTCTGGTTTCCAGACCCTACCTATACAGTATAGCTTTTGGCTACTGAAATCACCGACCCTAATAAAGTTATCTGAAGTTTGCAAAAGTTTGGAGCAATTTTTCGTACCCAGTTTGTGGCGCTAATCTTGTACTATCTATATAAAGTACAATCTGTTTGTTTCAAAGTTGATATAACATTTAACGAATGTTTGTACCATCTGTACTGCCATAATTGACATAGAATATAATTGACATGACTTGACATTTGGTACATTCATGATAAACCATGCTGCTGCTATTTCTTTAAATAGTACTTCCAACATTGCTGAAAACTCTTTTATATATTTAAGGCTTTCAGACAAAGCAAGTGCTCGCTTATTTCATCTCTATAAATTGACCTTGTTTTTACTTCACTTTAATCTCTTCCAAAAAATACTGATTCTATTCATGTTTTTATCTTCGCTTGTTCGGTATTATTTTTTAAAATACACTTTTAACTAGTATAGTAATAAAAATCTACTTGCTAACCTGTAAACAATTGCTGCATGCATGGTATTTTTTTCCTCTTAAGGTGGCTCCCTAGGGTTTTTTAATTTACTACACTATAATATTCAGGAGACTCCTGTTTCTCACTTTACATGACATGAAAACGAAATTTATTGGACACATTGACAATGTTCTCCTGAACATTACAAATTGCAACTGTTGTGTTAAAAATCTGTTGTCATGGCAACAACATGCTTAGAATAAAGCCCAAAATTTGTCTTTTTCAGGTCATTTTAAAAATTCCCTTCGGTGAAATTTTTTAAAACTTTGCATAAAAGGTCATACTTGTATAATGATTTTTTTCCCTCAATTTAAAAAAATTAAATCGATACGTTTCTTAGAAAATTTAAAAAACGTCAAAAATCAATATTAAAAATTTTCCCTTCGATTTAATTTTTTTAAAAAAGGATATTGCACTTGCTGTGCTGGTACTAAAAAATGTGCAAAGTTTTAAAAAATTTTACCGAAGGAAAACGGAGAAATTTGGGATTAATTTTCGCAATTTTACTAGATTTTTACCCGAACAATTTAAGAGGGTCTGAATGGGGTTAACTGACAACTGACAAACGGCCTTAAAAATAACTGTTAACTGACAAATAACGATTTTTTTAACTGTTTACTGACAAGTAAAACTTTACTGTTAACTGACAATTGAAGTTTGATTGGACTTTTTTCCATACTTCGGTGACTCTTTGATCAGGAGCAAATTAGAAATCCGAATAAAAGATCGAATTAATCGCCATAAAACACATAAAATTCGTGAAAGTCAGAAAAACGACTAATTACCCAAACAGAATTTGGCAAGTTAATTATTAACTGTGTTTAACTGACACGCCAAAATATTAACTGATAGCTGACAAACAAGCTAAATTTTAACTGACAACTGACATGCACAACCCCCCATTCAGACCCTCATTTAATACCCCAACTGACGTGTACAGGCATTCTGCATAAAACAACAAGACATGACTTTTTTGAAATCACAAAATATGAATTATGTTTGATATACTGTTTATAACTGTGTCGGTTATTGGTCAACTAAGCGTGGATTATACATGTAAAATTGGCAAAGGTATTTAGGTAATTATTAGTTATGATTTCTTGGTATTAATTTGAAAAATGTTTGTCAAAATTCGTCCCGTGCGAGTTAGTACATACGTCGGATGTTTTCGCAAAATGCCCGTTCAAATTTCAGTTTTTATGGTGGTATGTTTGGAGTTTCGGCCCTGCTCATTTCACCAGTAGAGGGCTCATTATTTAAGTCATCTTTATTGTCATAAATGCTGCTAGATTGTGGAGAAAACACTGCAAATTCTTGAGAAAACTTTATATCATATCCCAATGTTCGCGATCGAACCTGGCGTACGGCGGTTCAAAAAACTTCCAGAATACCGCTTGAAAAAAAACAAGTTTACATTATCTTCTTTTGAAACATCACATCCAAGTATCGTTTTGTCTTTTAGAACTCTTTTTATGCTTTCAACTAAAGCAAAGTTCACACTTTTGTTTCAAAAGAGTTCCATATAAAAACACAACGTTCGTTCGAAGTCACACAAGTTTTAGTTTACATATATACGAAGAGTAACCCCCGGAAATAAAACCCTAGGGAGCCACCTTAATGCTGTAAAGCATTGCTCTGGTAATGCTGCATCGCAAAGCTCTGGTAATTCACATGACATTGCACGCAGCTATTAACTATTTTCTGATTGGCTGACCACATTTTCGACTTTTTGTGCAAAACAATAATTCAAACGTTTGTGTGATGTTACTCTGAGTGTATATCCACACCGGGCAGGCTTGAAAAATATGCCTGGCCACAGTGGGATTCGAATCTACGACCTTTGGAATACTAGCCCAATGCTCTTCCAACTGAGCTACGCGGTCAGGTCGGTTCGAGTATGTGATATTTCGGAACTGAATCTAGTTCCTTCGATATCAGTGTAATCTAATAATCATGAAATCTGCTGTGTTGGTGTAATGTACTCAGGTGAATAAGATGTTTGTGTGATGTTACTCTAAGTGTATATCCACACCGGGCAGGCTTGAAAAATATGCCTGGCCACACCAGAAATATCGCATACTCGAACCGACCTGACCGCGTAGCTCAGTTGGCAGAGCATTGGGCTGGTATTCCAAAGGTCGTAGGTTCGAATCCCGCCGTGGCCAGGCATATTTTTCAAGCGGTGTGGATATACACTCAGAGTAACATCACACAAACATCTTATTCACCTGAGTACATCGCACCAACACAGCAGATTTCATAATTCAAACCTTGGAAAACTGGTTGACATGATATGGTTGTTTCACTTGCCTTTATATAATTATTATATACCAACGACAAACCAATCGGAAAAGTTGAAGTATTTTATTTTTACTGTAGCTACTGGTATTAATTGAAAATGTTAGTGAATATTTGTTGGCGACAAATCTGAGGTAAGTATATATTACCCAATCATAGTATCAAATTAGTGTGCATAAAGCAGCAAAGTTTTCACGAATATTCAAATATTCGCGCGCTTTGACTATAATACTTGAATTGTTAAAGGTATTGGCAACAAAAAATTTTATTGCTTCTTCTGAAAGAGCATGAAAAAATAAGCCGATTGGCCGATAAGCCGATTGGCCGATAAGCCGATTGGCCGATAAGCCGATTGGCCGTTGCTCTATTCTATCTCATCTGGTTCCGAAGTTATGCACAAAAATGTGCAAAATATAAGTTGCTGATTCAGCACAACGTGTGACGTCATTAGTAGGGTAAGTATGTTTAATCAATACTAAACTGAAGCATAGCTCAGTTATTATGGGCCCAAATCAAATAAAATTTTGCATAGACTGATTGTACATGATGAGACGCATTAAAAAACACTTCTAATTTTGTTGCCAAGGTAACAATGTCGTTCCTAGGCCCCTTGCGCCAATTTTATAAAACAGCATTATTCATGGTACTTATAAGAATAAAATAATATCAGAAGTATGTGTACCATATCTATGCATGCCAAAAGTTTACTTGCATGATAATAATTCGAAAATGACAAACACATAGATAAATGCAAATAGTTATTTAAAATCAATGTAAGGGGCCTGGGAACGACTGTGTTGCCTTGACAACAAAATTAGAAGTAGTTTCCCATGCGTCTCATCATGTACTATCTGTATGCAAAATGTCATTTGACTTGAGCCAATAATAACTTAGATATGCTTCAGTTTACTATTCAATAAACATACTTACCCTACTAATGACGTCACACGTTGTGCTGAATCAGCAATTTACATTTTGCACATTTTTGCGTATAACTTTGGAACCAGATGAGATAGAAAAGAGCAGTAAACGGCCAATCGGCTTATTTTTTCATGCTCTTTCAGATAAAGTAATAAACAATTTTATTTCCAATACCCTTTAAGAACAACTGGATGGCGTAGAAATATATAGATGAATCTATTACAATCCAAATTCAAACCGCAGTAGCACCAGCGATAGCACGATGATTCACAAATATAGAAAAAACGTCACAGTATCCTTCATACGAGATACGAGAGAATAGTTGTTGTATGTTGAGAAAACTCGGAAAGACGCGACTGTGTTAAACCATGCGTTCAAAACCTTCAAAAATTTTCGTGAGCGCGACATCCCTAGCAAAATAACGAGCGATCTATCACCACGCGTCCCACGCGGGACGGTTAATAGTTAAATGTGATCAGCCAATCAGAGTAATAGTTATAATAGCTGCGTGCAAGGACTAAGTGGTAATTCTTGCGCCGCCATCTTGTTTTCCCTGTATAGAGAGCCAATCAGATTGCAGAATAGCTTATATCCGGTAGCTGATTGGCTTGTATTATCAGCTTGACAGGTCAGTCAATTATCGTATTAATGAGCTTGACAGGTCAGTCGTATTATATGCGATATAAAGTTTGTTTGAATGGTTTGTTTAGGTTTCCATATACCAAAACAGTATTCATAGGCAACAGGTTGCGAGTCAAAGTTCAAAAGATCTTGATTCTTGGTTTTTAAAACGAATATTGCAAGAAAATGTTCTTGGCTCGAATATTTCGTGGAGGCTCCAAAGTCAAAGGTATTCAAAAGGTAAATATGTACAGAGAGAAATTATTTTAAAGCCGAGATTTTTGGAAAATTAAAATTAGAAAGTAACTATAGATAATTGGAACTTCGGCTATATGACAATGTCGTATTTACATTCACTGTTATAATTATAGTCTAAGGAGTAAGGTAAGCACCTTTGACTTGATTTTTAAGATGTAGAATTTCCAGTGCGTGGCAAAGCGCCGAAAGGTTTTATATGATATAACAGGGTTGGCATTTTCTAATTATCGGTCACATCGACTACACTTTTCTTTGACTTCTCGCCAATCACATCCACTGTCCACTAGGGGACAAATCACTGCACTTTTGTCGCCGCCGCGCATGTCGCACAAATTCAAACTGGTTTGATTTTGTGCAAACTGCCGCGACATAATTAAATTCCTAAAGCGAAAAAAATACGAAACTGAGTTTTCGGCAATTTGTTCAATGTTTATAGTTAATGTTTTGAAAAACCGACAGCCAATGTCAATGAGATTGTGTATTGGTCGTCATATGAAAATATGACCATGCAGTAGAACGCAATCAGAAAATTAAACAGTTTTATTAAAAGTTTGAATATTTTAGTGAACTATTTAACACGCCTGGCTATATTGAGCTAGCATTGACTATTGGGCTGCCTATGGTTAAATTAAACAGGTCGCCGCGAAAAATAAGCCCATATGCAGGGTTGAAAGCTATAGGCCTACATAAGCTGCGACTTATTGGAAATTAACTGTTTATGTGCTATTTAAAGCACGCGTAGGAGTGTTTTATCACATATAAAGCACGACGCGTAGCGGAGTGTTTTATATGTGATAAAACACGACTACAAGTGCTTTAAATGGCTTCAAAAACGACTCATCTTATACGAGTTCATTGGCGAAGTAATTTTTAAAATAAACTTTCTCAAAACCGAGAAAATCAAAGCTAAAGTTTATGTAAATTAACATGATTTTTATCACATATAAAACCACGACACGCTTATGATTTTTCTTTGTGTTTTCCTCCTGAATTATTAATGATTTTTGAAACCTTATTTAATTTAATTAGGCTGCAGCTTAAATTGCCCTCAGTAACGCCCTTGAGATATTTTGTCCCTGTAACTATATATATATATACGTATAATTAATAATTTCATTCTGGATAAATGTGGTGAGATAAAATGATTTCTAGTTAACATGACGTGCAGGGGCGTAGGAAGCGGGGGGGGCACGGGGGGCACGTGCCCCCCAAATTTTTTTAAAGGACTAAAAGTGCCCTTTTTTGTGATAAAAAGTGCCCTTTTTGTGTTGAAAAGTGCCCTTTTTTGTGAGGAAAAGTGCCCCTTTTGTAGAAGCTAATGTCGCTGTAAATACTAAATTAAAACAATAGGTGCCGTTTTTGTGTGGAGATTTACAAATTTTTTTTAAAAATTAGGTCACAAACATAAATTTCGGTATGATACGACGGAAAATTTTCCTCAGGAGAAATTTCTCCCCCCCCCCCGTCGACAACATTTCCGGGAAAAATTTTTTAGGTGCCCTTTCCGATAGTAATGTGCCCCTACAAGCCGGTGCCCCCCCAAACTCCAGGTGCTTCCTACGCCCCTGATGACGTGGCTTCAATGAACATGCCCATCTCGTCGAACAATATTTTGCAAAGGTTTCATCGGCACTTTGCCGACGTTTCGTGTCCGCAAAAGCGCATTGATACATGCTCGCGATCCTCAAATCTGCCGGGAATCTTTTATGCAATTTTGCTAACCGCAAAACTATCAAAATCTATAACGATATAATTGCAAAAGAGCTCGATCCAATCAATGACATGCATTCCTATAGTAAGATTTTCTCACGAAAATCAATTATTTTATCGGTTGGCAAATAAAGGATCAGTAGCAATATTGGCAACTTATTTATCAAGGGATCGGTCTGTGTATAAGCGGCTTAGTGTCGGTAAATTCCATGGTATCGAAACAATAATGAAAGTCGGATCAATTTGAGTAAATTTATTAAATCAACAAGCAACATCCAAAATTTGCAATTCTACAGTTCTTGCCTACGTGTGCTGAATTTCCAACGGGCAGCGACAATTAATTACTCGCCCAGAATTTATAAGAGAGTTTAAGTTCGACTTCCAATACCAATACCGATACCGATGTTTTCACTTGCGTTCTCATTTTGGTACCGGGAATTTTAAAGCGTTAAGTTATCACGACAGATAAAGTATATAGTACACATTAATCGTCACCGAAAATGTGCGGTATACTAAACGGCAGCTGAGCTAAAATTCCGACTGAAACATGACTCGGGCGATATTTTAATAAACAAGTAGTTTACATGTTTATCGTAAAAATCATGAAATATCCGATTTATATGAGTTTATCTTACAATTCCCCCGACTTCCAATACAAGACCGACTTCGGTAGTGGTGACTTCCAATACACTTGTCCTCGTGCTTCTTGCCAGCAGAGAGCATGCGCGTGACATGTTGTTAGTATCGGTATTCGTATCGAAAGTCGAACTTAAACTCTCTATTACTGATCTTGAAGTTGCAGTGAATTCTGATTTGGAAAATCTTAGAAAATGGTTAATTATCAATAAACGTAATCTATTCAAGCCTTAATGTATTCAAGACTGAGTTTATGTTAAGGTGATTAATCAGTTTTGCATTGCGCACTTCTCCTGCGCATATCTAACACACTGTTTCCCTTGGTCTCAGCAAATAAGTGATAATTATATCATGACTGTATCAGACATATTAGAACAACCTTGTTACAAGTCTGATAATGGCATCAAGCTTGTTATACAAGTTGTTAGTAACAGCTAGCTTGTTCCAAACTTGTTACAACTAGGACTTGTCGACAGCTTGTCGACATTTTGTGAACAGATTTGTAACAACTTGTTTGCAGATATCGATCTGTAACAACTTGTACTTTTTTACGTGTATTAGAACAAATTGGGAATTCAAAATTGGTAGGAACCAGTATTGAGTCAGATAACGTTGTCTGCCTCATCCCTCTCATCACATGAGAAATGATTTATAATTTTCACTGACTGAGCACATTATTCGTTGTGTTGAATCTCGTGTGCAATTTTAGAGGTTTAGGTTT